ACCCTAGCTGTACAAAGAATTAACCATCTTATCCATCTGATATTTCAATTTATATTCAGCCTAATTCAGGTAATATGCAATGGCTAAGAATGTCAGCTGAAAGTTCCTAGTTCGCATATGGCCACAGACACATACTTAGTAAGCTATCTTAGGCAATGCACTGTTCTTACAGGTATAGGTCCCATCAGCAAAAGAAACCGACAGCCTTGTCCACATGGTTTAAAGTTGTTAAGTATATTCTGTTAAAAACTGAAGAATTAAGATTGTAAAACAGTAGGATTTATTCTGTATGTATTGTATATGATCAAATGTTAAATAAAATAATTTTAAAAATGCCACTCAAAGAAAACTTCAGAAAGAAAAGAAAAGAAACCAACAGCCTTGGCCTATCTTTGTTAGGATTGCAAAGATCAGACACAAAACATTCTACACCTGTAAAATGTTATACATAATTCTGCTGAGTTATTATTCATTTGGAATTAATCCACTAATCACTATAAAATGGGGGGAGAGAATCTGGAAAAAATAAATTCTAGGGGGGAAAAAATCAAACAAAAATATGTATAATGGCACATAAACTGTACTGTTTGAAAAGTCACAAATATACCAAATATCTTAGTTTTTAAAATGCCTGTTAGAGCTACAGCTGACAGCTGTGTTCTAGGTATGGGTCAGACACATCTTTTGTCAGATGGGAAAATAGGAAAAATAAAATATCTGGTAATAGAAACTAACCATATAATAAACAATGTTTTATTTTTGTCTGGGCCTATGTGTAGCCAGGGCCGGCCCTATCACTAGGCCTGCTAGTATCTCGCCTAGGGCGGAGATACTAGCAGGGCTCCAATTCCCCTGCCGCCCCCGCCAAAAGCCCCCACCCTGACCAAAGCCACCCGCTGCTCCTTTCGCTGCCGCTGCAGTAGGGCGGCAGTGCACATGCCACTCTGCGCCCGTGCCAGCTCCTGGGGAGCATTCAGTCGACTGCCCGGAAGGGGGCGTGGAGCCTCCGGAGCCCGCCCACCCTCTTCTTATGTGCAAAATTTCCCCTGGCACAGCGAGTCGAAGCAGACAGGGATGGGGCCGCCGGTGGTGGGGCGCTTGTGGGGCTCGCTGGCGCTGCTGACCAAGCCGGCTGAGTTCAAGCTCTTCTTCCACCGCTGCCCCTTCCAGGGTGGCTTCACCCTCGCCGCTGGCCTGAGTGAGTGCCTGGCCTTCTTGCGTACCTTCCGCTTCTCCAAGGCAGGTAAGTGGCAGCGTGGGGAGAGTTCAAGCTCTTCTTCCGCCGCTGCCCCTTCCAGGGTGGCTTCACCCTCGCCGCTGGCCTGAGCGAGTGCCTGGCCTTCATGCGTACCTTCCGCTTCTCCAAGGCAGGTAAGTGGCAGCATGGGGAGAGGAAAGGTGCTCTGCATGTGCGCAGAGGCTAGTTCGCCCTGGTCTGACTGTGTTGGGGGAGAATGTGGCCCAGGAGGGTCGGGGGGAGGGGTTTTTGGAGGCCCAGGTCAACTCCCCTGCTCCCAGCGGGCGGGTCCCTGTGGAGGGAGGGAGGCTTGCCCCTGCCTGGCCTGCCCAGCACCATTGGCGGTGCCCACTGCCAATCCCTGCCGCTGGGCCACTTCCTGGCTGGGGACCGCGGGAAGGGCTTGGGTCAAGCTGCAGCTCTGGCTCAGAAAGGCCCCCTGGGCGGGCAGGCAGGAGGCGGCGGCGGGGAACAGAGCCCTCTCTCGGCCGGCCCTGCTGCTGGGACCCAGCTGGGAGGTTTCCAGGCCCCACCGGGAGGTTGGCATCTAAGGGGGGCACCACGAGGAGCCTGGCCTAGGGCACAGAAACCCCTCAGGCCGGCCCTGTGTGTAGCATGCCGAAACAAAGAAACAAATCCATAAAGAAAATAAGCACACCTATGATATAGTTGAGGCATATTAATTTGGTTATTCAGTTACACTTTCACTATTGAAGCATTCAACATTCATAATAATAGCTACCTCACCTTATATATTTATACAAAGAAGCAAATCTGACAAAATATAAATGATGGCTTACTATCCAAGAAGTATGTATAGGAAAGGGCTCTTTTAAGTGTCACAGTAACTGTAGATGAAGAAATTTGGTTGCCCTTATTTATTCAATTTATACCCTCATTCTATACTGGTAACTATTTCATTAAGAGTTACACAGCTTAAAATTATTAGAATTAGTACTCTAATCAAAGAGTGCGTCTAAAAGGCTGATAGCTTCCAATTCTGATCTTTCACTTAGAGCTTCATGGGCTCCAAGGTTTGTATGGCATAAAACACTTTTTACTCATTGGTTTATTCCTTCATATTGTATGCACACATTTCAAAACACTTGGTTTATTTCCTATGATGAAGATGATAAGAGTAAGGAAGTGATAAAAAGATATGAGGCAGCATTGCATTTATTTATTTTAAATCATTTATACCCTGTACTCTCAGCCAATATTTGGTTCTCAAGGCAATTGCAAAGATTCTTTTTTTTAAAAAACCTATAAAATAGAGAAATAATCACACTGTTTGAATAATCAGCAGGTTAATAACAGGAACTATAGACCCATTTTAAGGCAGGTAGCAGGTAATAACATCACCATTAGAAGGAAAACAGCAGACACACATATACCCATTTAAAAAATCAAAATGTCCGTGACAAAAGATAGGTTTCAGCATTGTATCAAAATTCAAGACACCTGGCACCAGCTGAATGGATGTGAGGAGGCCTTTACAACTAGCGTGCCAGAACAGCGAAGGTCCTGTCCCCTGCAGATACCCACCTTACTTCACCAAGAGAAGAAAACACAGGAGAACCTCTGAAGAGAATCTCAGCTGGTGGGCAGGCACATAAAGGCAGAAAGTACACAATCCAGTAACAAGTTAGTTCCCAGTCTTCCTGAAATACAGATTTCACACCAGAGTGCCCAAAGTACTATCCGAAACTTCCAACCCACCATGTTGGAGAAGCAACATGCAGACTCCCAGATTTCACCACTGCCACAAATACCTAAAGACATTCCATTTTTCTGCAATATTTGAAATTAACTTTCCAATATCAAATGTTTAAAGGAAGCTGTTCAGTAATCCAGTTAAACCACAGTATTATGAATCTTGAAAAGATTTTCATCAATAGAAAGGTATTGTGTAATATTATTTTAAAATATGTTTTAAATATTTCATTCAATCCTCTGAAAGAGTACATATTTTCAAGCCGTGACTCTTTCAAATATCTTTTAAAAACACCAAAACCTTCTGTTGGGTTTTCACACTTCTAATCTAAACAAACTTAGTCATTGTTCATGCTAACCTATGCTTCATCTTGTGTTACACTATGTACCAACAGTTACAGTATGCCAATGTTAGTGTGGGAAGTAATATGATTAGGGCATACCCACATGATCAGTTCACCTTTGCAGAAAAGTATCTTAAGGACAGTTCTTATGTTCAATAACTTTAGAGTACACATAATCTACTATGCATTGACTAGCATAACCGGCAGCATATATCACAACTGTGCTACATACTTGCATATAGCAAACTCTGTATTATGCACCAAGCCATGACCCATCATCCTCCATACCGCTATAAGGGGCATAGGCATGTTTTTTTAAAATAATCTTGAGACGAGACTGATCACTAGGCCAGGATCACAATGTTCCAATCAACACAGTGAGAGCACAAACTTCAGTCACAAATACGTTAATTCCTCTCTTCCCACAATGTTTCTTTCTTTGCTTTCCCGCTCAAGGTCAAAGAACTAGCACAAGGACCCTGATGCTTTGGCACTGGTAAGATGACAAAGTATAGGGCTGCTTGTCAGGTTTACAAGAAACTCAAAAATGTCAACCCTTCCAGCTGTGAATCTGGCAGCCCCAAAGCTTCTAGGTAAGATGCAAGAAAGAGGCAAGTGATGCAAAAAGACTGATTCCCTCTTCCATATTCCAGTCAAAATAAGGAGCAGATTAAAAGCCAAGCGGCTTTTCTGAAGTCAGCCCTCACCCCCTAACAGAGCTCAGAACCGGCCCTGCAAATCGAAGAAGAAATGTCACAAGTTGTTGTGGGGCCCTTTAAGTTCCTTTAGAAGCAGGACTACCACTAATAAATATGTTGTGGAATAGCTTTTCCATAGGTCAGAACCACTTCGTCAGATGCACGAAAAGAAAGCCTCTTTTTGGTAGTTGAGAGAGGCAAGAGAGGTCCTCTCTGGTAGGTGAGTCCTGGGCGGAGGGGATGGGAGTTAATGAGGTGATTTCTCTCAACTCCCCTCCCCTCCCCCCGTCCCTTCTCACCTTGGAACCCGGAGAGTCGGGCGCTCTCCGTCCCTTTGTTTTAGCTCATTTGGTCTCTTCCTCTTTGGCACCTCCTCATAACGAAGCCAACTGGCAGCCAAAAGGCAGAGGAAGAAAGGAACAGACGGCGGCGACTCACCAAGTTGTTTATCCTTTTATAGTCCCTTCCGCGCAGCAGCCCTCACTCCGAGGGGGCCGCCTCTTTGACAGCTGGGGTTGGGGAGACAGCAAGGCACCCCCCGCCGCCCTTCTCCCTCCCACACGCCCCAGGATAGACTGTTCCCGACAGTTCTCGGGACCCTGACTCAGAGACATAAGCGACGCGGGCTCCTGTCTAGCCGCACTTACTCGGATCCGGTCGCAGGCAGGACACTACGCAGCAAAAGACGGAAAGCCCCTTAACTCCCTGGCGCCCTATTTCCAGTCCCAGCGCAAGGAATCGAACGTTACGACGACTCTGAACTACGGGAGGGAGAGGGGAGCGAGAGGGGCGGCTCGGGACGCGCGGACGATTCGTCTCGCGCCGCTGGGCTTTCAACGGCCTGCAGAAGGCCAACATCCTCAGCTAGCACTTTGCGCTCGAGCGCAGCCGCGCGACTACTCCGCCGCCGCCACCACCATAAGTGCGCCGGGCCTCCAACCCTCCCCTCCTCCACCTCAGCCACTGCCCTCCTGACTCTCACCACCTCCCTCCCCGTCAGATACTTACCCTTCCGCGCAGTGTTCTCTGACTCTCGCAGGCTACCGGGTGGGGGTGGGAGGCTGCGGATGAAGTTCGCAAGAGAGACGGGTTATTTTTTTAAAAAAATAAAGGGTGCAGGGGAACCGACGCGGAGCAAGATCTGTCACCGGTTCCACTTGTTTCCAGTGTTGGCCACTGGGCGAAACGGGAGGGGGAGAGGGAGGAGGGGGGAAGGTAACAAGAACCTCCCCCTTCAACGTTAGCCGTCCCCGTCCCGCCTTCACACACTACCGCTGGCTGCGACTGTTTGTGTTGAAGTGCGAGACGCTACAGGGCTAAGGGGAGGGAACGGAGCCAAACAGCTGAGAGGATGTAAACACTGGGGTCACGTGACCGCACCGCCACCGGGAGAGGGGGAGAAAACTCCGCCTTTCTCTCTTCAGACGAGACGCGGTTTGTTGGTTCTAGGCAGCCTGCTAGAGATTCCGCCCCGCAACCCACAAGCCAATGGGAAGGTAAGGAGGCGGCGTCAAAAACCGTTGTCGTCAAACTTTTGTAGCCAATGGTGGTTTCAGAATCGGAGTCATCGCTTTTGGCTGCTAAATTGCGTTGTGTTGCTTTTCGTCAGAGTTGTTAATTGTGAGCCAAGAGTAAGGCTTTGGCTGAAGCCGAAACTTTTTGAACCGTCCGCTCATTTCCATCCTTAGGTATAATGCTAACTTCAAAGATTTTAGTAAATAGTTCTCATTCATACTTTATTGTCAAAACAATCATCCGGTTTTCTTGCCATGTCGCTTGTGCTTCTCTAGCGCAGTTGTCTTCAAACCGTAAATCGAGATTAGTTGCAAAGTCCCATAGAGCTGCTGCCTTTTGTAAAGACCTGTTGCATATAGAGAGCAACGTCCTGCGTCGCTTTGCAGTCATGATGAAAGGAGAAGCGCGACAGTGAGACAAAGTCACTCCGCGGTGAAGGTTTCCTTGAGTGTAAATCTTAGTTTGTGCCTCATGACGGTGCACCTGGTGGTGTTTCTGGCCCCAGCTTTTTTGTTATGCTACTCATAGTCCTGGCCATGGCTCTGGTGAGGTCATAATTCAGGGTGGCATATGTGGTACTTCTTGCCCTTGATGTACAGAAAATAATCCTGTCTTGAGTGTGTGTGTTTCCCCAGCCCAATTTGAGAAAACACTCAGTACAATCCTGTAGAGCAGAATCAGATCTTGTACTTTATTGATCAACAAAGGAGGGAGGTGCAGATCCAATAGGATTTTGGACCCCACAGCTCTCCCTACGGTTACAATGGGAGACATAAAGTTTTATACCCCCTATGACAGAAATAAATCATAATTATTGGTTCCATCAAACTTTGTCATATATCAGTCACAATGTTCTGATTGGGCCCAGACATGTGGGCTGGACTTTCTCAAGCGAAAATGTACCTCCTTCATTTAAACAATGGGCCTTCTTCTTCCCAGACTATGAAGTGATAAAAAGTATTTAATGTAACAGATACGGGTACATCCTGTAGTATGGTTTCCATCTAACACAAGCTTCAGCATTTTACCTTCCCAGCAGGCATCCAAACAACAGTCACAAATGAACCAAAGTTAATACCTGAAAACATTCATGATGTTAGAATCATAAACGGCACTTAACATATGCACCATGGAAGTGCTAAGTGCACCTATTAAGTTAAACCTGTTAGTCAGCGGCAGAGTACAAAGTGTTTCATAAACTGGGTATAACAAATCCCCCCTTTCTTGGCGAAGTGAAGATTTATAGTTCACTGGCACCAACTGTATCTCTTTTACATCTCTATTAATTCTGGCAAGTATTAGCATTCTTTCAGTTATGGGGGACTGTAGACAGTGCAGCTTTGATATAAGAAACATACAAGTACAAAATACAATTAAAATATGTAACAGAGACCAGAGGGTTCAGGTGCTAGAAGAGCTTTATAAAATGAGATATGGTAGGGAGTTAAGTGTAAAGAAGGATAAGCCTGCTCTCCAGTGCCTGGGAGAAGGAAAGGCTGTATATCCTTGATAATGTGCTGAGGGCATTTTAGCTGACCACAAATTTATTTATATTTTATTTATTTATTTATTCGATTTATACCCTGCCCTCCCTGCCAAGGCAGGCTCAGGGCAGCTTACATAAAATTAAATTCTGTTACCTTTTCTACTGAGTCTGAGCTGTAGTTGAATTGGTGTCACAAAATTCTTTGTTGATCTCACTCTCTGGTACTGTTTCATATGAGCAAAGTGGCTGAAAAATGAGCCACCGCACTCACATGAACTGCTAGGAAATCATCTGTTGCTGCAGCAGATATGCTGCTTTCTTATGTGGCTGCATCCATTGGGCTGTTCTACATGAAAGATGCCCTAATCTGTCCATTGGGTGGCTATGATACTAATTCATCTACATTCCTGCCTTCTGTTGTTTACTCTTTTGATAATTTGCCAATGGGACATACCACTACCATTAACTTTCATTCCTTCTATCCTTACTTCTGCAGGTACTCACACAGTCTCTTTACTCAAATTCTTACCTTTTTATTTCTATATTTACTTCTGTCTCAATGGTTTAGTTTTGGCCAGTGTCCTAGCCGGTCACCCATTTCTCTCTGTTTGTTTCCTTGGCTGGCTATGTCTAGCCGGTAGCAGATTCCAATGTAATGACAGAGAAGGGCTGTGGTCTCTGCAGTTCTTATGAATTTGCTCAGTTTCAGTAAGCAAGCATCTTAACAGCAGAGCAGCAAATTCTGACAGACAGAATTACGGTTCAACATAATGTGAACACTTCAGTGTCCTTACTTGTACCCTAATGGCATTTGCAACCTTTCCTTGTGTTGAGAAAGAGCCAAATAACCCATCTTTCAAGAGGACAGACTTAGGGCATTTGTGTATCACACTGACTTGCAACAAGGGAAAGAGGAGCTTCTGTTTTGTTCCACTCCTCCCCTTAAATCCTACTCTGATGGTTCCGTAAGCAGCATGGTTTAGCTCTTTCATGATACAGAGGTAAAAACCCCCAACATTTAATTATATGAACAAGACTGAGAAACAAGGGTGCCCAGCGTGAGATGTTGAGGCCAGGTCACATGAAGCAGGAAAGGAGAAATACTGCTTGCTATAAGAGTTCAGAACTCAAGACTGCAAATATTATCTACCTGCTTTTGCTAAGAGAGAAATAATTATTAGCTGGTCCAAGAGTAGAAAAAATTCAGCTTGGTCAAGAATCAGCTCCATGGCAACCTTAATAAAGATAATATAATTTGTTTCAAAGAGGCCGTTAGTCAGTGAATTCTGTAGCAAATCAACTAAAAAAAAAGTATTTTGAATTAGGCTGAACATTAAGCTATTTTTTGTGTGATTTGTTGTACATAAAACTACTTATAAGACTATGATGTTCTATTATTAGGATAAGGTGGAAGTGATATTTTGGTACAGTTATGATGATCGTATTTAAAAGGTATGTATATGGACAACTCCATGGGTAAACACTGAAGGCACACTGATAATGCAATCCTATGTAGAAGTATTCCAGTCTAAATTCATTGCCTTCAGTGGTCTTAAACTGGAGTCACTCTGGATTGAATGGTGGTACACAGAACTAAAAAAATAAATCTTTTTTTTTTACTGTGATCCTTTTTAAAATGGAAGCAACAACAGACACATGATGGGGCAGCAGCCTTAACTGAAATGAGCTAAATGGTTTATTGAATCACTACTTCAAGTTCTACACAGACAGTGAATACAGGAGCCAACAAGGTGCAGATCATAAAAAATAAATGCAATAAAAAGACAGAATAATTTGCTGCAGACTTGCTCCACTTTGTAGGCAGAATTATAAGAACATAGGAACATAAGAGAAGCCAATGTTGGATCAGGCCAATGGCCCATCCAGTCCAACACTCTGTCACACAGTAGCCAAAAATACCAGGTGCCATCAGGAGGCCCAGCAGTGGGCCCAGGACACTAGAAGCCCTCCCACTGTTGCCCCCCCCACAAGCACCAAGAATACAGAGCATCACTTGCCCCAACCTGAGAGTTCCTACCTATGCCTTGTGGCTAATAGCCACTGATGGACTTCTGCTCCATATGCTTATCTAATTCCCTCTTGAAGCTGTCCATGCTTGTAGCCGCCGCCACGTCTTGTGGCAGTGAATTCCCTGTGTTAATCACTCTTTGGGTGAAGAAGTACTTCCTTTTATCTGTTCTAACCCGACTGCTCAGCAATTGCATTGAGTGCCCACGAGTTCTTGTATCGTGAGAAAGGGAGAAAAGTACTTCTTTCTCAACCTGCTCTATCTCATGCATAATCTTATAAAGTTCAATCATGTCACCCATCAGCCGTCGTTTCTCCAAGCTAAAGAGACCCAAGCTTTTTAACCTGTCTTCATAGGGAAAGTGTTCCAACCCTTTTATAATTCCAGTTGCCCTTTTCTGCACTTTTCCCAATGCTATAATATCCTTTTTGAGGTGTGGTGACCAGAACTGTACACAGTACTCCAAATGAGGTTGCACCACTGATTTATACAGGGGCATTATGATACTGGCTGATTTGTTTTCAATTCCCTTCCTAATAATCCCCAGCATAGTGTTGGCCTTTTTTATTGCAGTCGCACACTGTCTCGACATTTTCATTGAGTTATCTACTACGACTCCAAGATCTCTCTCTTGGTCAGTCTCTGCCAGTTCGGACCCCATCAACGTGTATTTATAGTTAGGATTTTTTGCTCCAATGTGCATTGCTTTGCACTTGGCCACATTGAACCCCATTTGCCAAGTTGACGCCCATTTGCCCATCCTCGACAGATCCCTTTGGAGTGCCTCACAATCCTCCCTGGTTCTCACCACTAGGGATGTGGATTCGGTTCGTCCAAACCGAATACACCCCAGATAATGGCCCATTCGGACCCCTTTCAGGCTTCTGCAGGCCAATTCAGATTCAGATTTTGGCAGCAATTCGGCCCCATTATATCTTATGGGCTATTGAAGTCAATGGTGAAAACATAGGGTATATTCTGGGGGCTGGAGGGAAGGGGGTTTGAGGGAGAGGCTCCAAAATCTGATTTCTGTAGTCTGGAGAAGAGCTGTAATTCTGTGGGATCTCTAGGCCCCGCTTTGAGGCTGACATCCATAACAAGAGTGCATGGAAACAGTTTGCACTTTTCTTTTTCCTTTTAACCCAGTTTTTCTGTGAACAAGTGCTAGCTAGCTGGCATTCTCAGCTTTGTTATGGCTATGGCACAGCCTTGTTGCCATTCTCATCCAGGCTCAGACACAGTTCTTGGCCGCTTTCACAGCACGTTTGGAAGATTATAC